AAATATAGGATACTGGTGTCCAAAATTTAGGAGGCATCTCAACGATTGGGAATTCTCTGATCTGTTAGAGCTGCTACAAGCGATTCAGGAATATCAACTGAACCCAAATCAGTAAGATACCAGAATTTGGAAATGGACTAAGGATGGGATTTTCTCAGTGAAGTCATTTTATTCAAATCTGAGTGCTGGTTCGGCTCAGGCTTTTCCTTGGAAAGAGATTTGGCTTCCTCACATTCCTACTAAAGTCTCCTTCTTGGTCTGGACTGCAGTGCATGGTAAATGTCTCTCCAAGGAGCAGTTAATCAGGAGGGGTCTGGTTCTGCCCTCCACAAGTTGTGTGATGTGCAATGGAGAAGTTGAATCGGTGGGTCACCTATTTATTCATTGTGAGGTTGCCCATCTGCTGCTCTGTCATTTCTGATCCCTGCTAAATGTGAGGTGGTGCTGCCCCAAGTCTTTAGGTGAACTGCTTTTCTCTTGGAAGTTGACAGGCTTAAGTAACAGGGGTAAGGTGTTATGGTGTATGATCCCTCATGTAGTGTGTTGGGTCCTGTGGAAAGAAAGAAATAGTAGGATTTTTGAAGGTCAAAGGTGCTCCCTAGATGAGTTGGTGGTTCGGGCATTGGCTACTTTACATTCCTGGCTGTCAGTCCTGTGGAAAGAAAGAAATAGTAGGATTTTTTAAGGTCAAAGGTGCTCCTTAGATGAGTTGGTGATTCGGGCATTGGCTACTTTACATTCCTGGCTATCAGCCAAGGACTCGTTTAAGCATATCCCCCACCATCAATACTTTGATTTGGATTTTTTGTTTACTTGATTTAGTTAGGGGTCTCTTGTATGTATTTGGGAGAGACTGGTTTTTTGGTAACTTTTTGTATAGTTGCTGGCTGTACATGGAGTTTTGTGGACCAAAGGCTGTAATATGTTACAATTATACGTGTTGAGCAAGAGCAAGTGAAGAGAGGAGAGAAGAGAGAAGAGAGGTGAGTCGAGTGACTGAAAGCCCTCCAGAACTTAGGGGGCGAAAGAATGATTTTATTATTTATACTAGTACAGTCGAACAATATAAACAGAGGAGAAATTACAACAGTACCCTTATGGTACTAAACCTGAATACATAAACAACTGACAACAATACGCATTAATACAATTACCTTACTTTTTCTCAAAAAAAAAATGCATTTCGAATTCGAATCAAATTTGAATATTCGATTATTTAGACAAATTCGAATTCAAAGTATTGCTTTAAGAAACCGCCGCATATCGAATCAAATTTGAATATTCATCTATTTAATCGGTTTTGAATTCGAACTAAGCCTGATTCGATTCGAATTCGCTCCGTTTACACCCCTACTTCTAGCTACCTCTAAGATATGTCTGTTTTTTCTCTCAACAACCCCGTTTTGCTGAGGTGTACGAGGACAGGTGCTCTGATGAATGACCCCATGATCATGGAGATAGGATGCCAAGGGTTTTGCAAAGTATTCCTTGGCATTATCAGATCTAAGATTTTTTGTCTTAGTTTCAAACTGGGTTAGAACCATCTGATGGAAAGCCTGGGTCAGAGAAGGGACCTCATCTCGAGAGTGCATAAGGTAGACCCATGAAAAACGGGTATAATCATCAACAAATAATAAGAAATATCTGTACCCCCCATGGTGGGGGTATGATATGGCCCCTAAACATCGGTATGCACAATTTCAAAATGAAGGTTGCTTCTTTTATTACTCAAAGGATAAGATGATCTACTGTGTTTTGCAAGCTCACAACTTTCACACTTTAAACTAGACACTTCTACTGACTCAAATAAGTTTGGAAAAAGACTCTTCAAAGACTCAAAAGATAAATGACCTAAGTGATTGTCCCAAAGCATAATCTTACTACAAGACTGAGAGACAAACTATTTCCCCACTTTACTCTGCTCCCCTTGTGAATGTTCAAGCAGGTAGACTCCATTCATCTTACGGCCAATCCCAATCACCTTCTTCGTTTTCAAATCCTGAAAAACACACCGATCAGGGAAAAAGGTTACTGAATAGTTTTGATTTTTAGTAATACTACTAACTGAAAGTAAGTTAGCACTAAGCTTGGGAACATGCAAAACTGAGGATAGGGTGATGGCATCAGACAATCTGATGTCTCCCTTGCCAGAAATTGGCACAAGGGAGCCATCAACAAATAGAAACTTTGTCTCTCCCAGAGGATAAACAATAGGTGCTAAACAAAGTAGATAAGCTGGTCATATGGTCTAAAGCACCTGAATTTATTACCCATAGTGTTACCTGGGACAGAAGCATGACATGCAGTAGCTCTTATACCTGTATGAGCAAGGGCTGAAGTAGGCTGAGCAGGTGTAGTAGCTGAAGACTGGAATGTAGATCCAGAAATATCAACTTCTTTCTCTAGCTATGTCAATGCAGCCCGGACAGCTGCTAAGGTATCCAAGGGTGTAGTCCTTGTGCTAGAAGAGGATGTACTGTCAATAGTAGTTGCTGCATTAGCACTTCCCTTCTTATTTCTAAGTCTAGCTAGCATAGGTGAGGATGCAACTTCCAACAGGTGTCCCTAGTGTGTTTGGGCTTCTTGCAATGATCACAAAAAATATCTCTTTTGTCTTCCTTCTTAACTTCCCTTTCCTTTTTCCCTCCAGCCTTGAATTTTGTTACTGCCAAGGCTGCTTCTGTGGGTTGAAAAGATAACATTACCTTCCTCCTACTCTCTTCACTGTGGACTAATGAGTAGGCCTGAGATAGAGTCACACTCTCCCTAGTGAGAAGTTGTCTTGTAATATCAAAATCTGAGTTTAGACTGGATAAGAACTCAAAAACCCTATTTGTTTCAATCAGTTTTCTATATGTTGTTGCATCCTTCTGGCTTTCCCATTCAATAGCTTCCAAGTGATCAATTTCATGCCAAAGGGATTTTAGAATAGCAAAATATACTAAGACTAGCTTCTCTCCTTTCTTGAGGTTTTTCGCCTCACATTTCAGCTCATAAGCTCTAGCAACATTGAGGGGTTGGGAATAGATCTCCTTCATGCTGTCCCAAATCTCCATTGTTGTTTTGCCCAGAGATAGTTTCGACTGATGTGGGGCTGTATAGAGTTGCATAGCCAGGTCATCACCAAGTAGTTCTCTTGAACCCATCTTGGATGAGATAATATCCTCCTTGGTTGGTTCTTTTGTGTCTCCCGTTACATACCCACTCTGCCCCCAAAGGCCATCATTGCCGATTGGGCCCATTCCAAGTAATTTGTTCCATCAAACCTAATAGTGGTAATCTGGAATGAATTTTCTGTCATATCACCAGTCCCAAAAGCTTACCCTTGAGTTTTCACCTCACTTCCAACCTTTTCCATACAAAGTAGATCACAATACTCCAAGAAAAAATCTAGTTTTCTACTAAAATACCAACAATCCAGAAACTGATCTCAGCAAAGAATAAAACCCAGAACTTAATTTGAGTCAACAGTTCCTTCTCAAAACTGTAACTTTAATCAAGAATACCAGAGAATAACAGTCTAGAAACTGACTTTAGCAAAGAATAAGAACCAGAACTGTAACTTTAATCAAAACATCAGAGAATAACAGCCCAGAAACTGATTTCAGCAGGGAACAGGTCTTGATTTTTTTAAAAGGAGCAAGGTGATCTAAGATTTATTATGCTGCTGCTAAAAGAAAGTTACCTAAGATCGAACAACCTTTAAAGGTTGCACCTTTTTCAGAAAAGAAAGCTGATCATAAAAGAAATCTTGATAACTTTTATCGAGTTACCTTAAAGGTTGTACCTTTCTCAGCAACAAGAACTCTGATTGACTTCTTTGGTTTGAAACCTTAACCTTGATCGAATCTGAACTCTTTCTCAGAATTCTGATCGTCCTCTTGGTTTAAAACCCTATCTTGATCGAAACTGATCTCTGATTCTTCCTGGTCACCGGATCATTCTCCAAGAATCTTTTCACTTTCTTGGGCAGTCTTCAGTACTCCAGTAACCTCCAAGAACCAGGCGGTTGTTGCAGAGATCTTGATCTAATGGATTTTCATGTAGCCGACCAGATCAGGCTTACATGAGAACCCTAGTTTTTCTCACCAATAGCTCTGATACCGACTTGAAGAGAGCTAGTGGATTTCTGTCATAAAAAGAAAAGGAAGAAAAGAACTAGACTTGAAGAGAAGAAGAAGGGAAGAGAGAGAGAGAGAGAGAGAGAGAGAAGAGAGGAGAGGAGAAGAAAGGGGTTCGGTTGATTAATTCTGCCACTCCATACACTTCATTATATATAGTTTTGGTTCCTTACAAGAATAGGAGATAAAAGATAAAATTCTAGTCCTAATAAAACAAAACATAACATGGATAAGGCCAGCCAGCCCAACTTAAAAAGAATTAAAATAACTAGGTGTGGGTATGGAACCACACACACTAGAGCCTAAGTGTGGGTATGGAACCCCACACTCGTGGCTTACTAACTATTTCTACAGCTTTGATTGGTTTATCATATATTTATATAATTTGAGGTTTTACTATCCTAAAAAAAACTCCTGATTGCCAAGGGGTTACCTAAAGAAATTTGAACTCAAAGTAAGATTTCAAAAATGCATTGTCCTATCAGAAACTCATAAATTCCTTCTAACCTTCTCCATAATCCACAAAAATAGAAGAGATATTTGAGTTGTGATGACTTTGAATAAATTTTCTTATATTCAACATAAATATGGAAAATAAGATATAAGATAAATAGAAAAATCTTTAAAGTAACCAAACATTTTGGAGAAATATTTGACCTTGATGAATGAGGATATACTTGAATATCATTTTTTTCATTTGTATCCAAAGAAACAGTCTGCAGTCTTCTCATGTTCTCATAATCCAAATAACTATAGATGAAGGTACAGCATCCACCATGCTCCAGATTCATTATTAGACGTAGAAATTATCCAGATACAGGACATGTGTAAATTGGTTTGCTCAAGAAAAAGAGAGAGCATATAAGGCATAGTACATACAGTTGAAGTAGCATAAGTTGGTCCAGATCCATCAATGAATATAATACCTTCTTGAGAAGCTTGATCCATGGCCTAAGGAACAAAACAAATGAAAAAACAATTTTTTTGTAATATAATGACTGCAATGCTTTTCAAAAAAAAACAAAGTTAGTGTATTCATAATAGAAAGAACAACAGTTAGAAGAATTGGATTGAAATAACAAATTATGAAAAAACAAGAAACATAGAAGAAAATTCTTCATGAAGGTACCAACTGGCTTGCTGGTAATGTCTCCTGCTGGTTGTAGCCTAGACCAGGGAGCTATTCTTGCTTTCATCAGGGTTGTAGGGCTTTTGTTTTTTGCAGGATTGGACACCCTACATTGTGTAGTCCATTTATCTAGTAATAAAAAAGAACAAAATTCTCCTTAAATCACTCTTATTCAGGCCATTTTCTTTTTCCCAAGTGGATGAAGAATGCCACAGTTTTGCTACCAATGTAAAGTTGGCTAGGCTTCTGAATTGACTAGATTATGTAACTCAACATTAAATTATGTCAAAACATACTGACAAGGAGCAGGCCAATGGTGGAATTATAGTTTGGATGCTATTTTCTATTTCCTATAGGTTCTTCATTTTCTACCAAGTTTGTTTACGGAATTCATCTCTCAATTTAATTTTTTTGGGTAGTAAATAAAAAAGAAAAATTATTAAAAAGAGAAAGAAAAGGAGTACTATGAAGGTGATAAGAAATCACCCACAAAAAGGAAAAAACAAGCCCCCAAAAACATCCCTTACAAAGAAAAACCCCACAACCTCTTAAATTCTGACTTTCGACCTCACCCCACAATCCAACAACTCTTCCCATAGGTCTGCCAACAGTTTGGCAGATGGTCTAGGTTAGCAAGGGGTTCAGAGACGGTCTATGTTTTGGGATCAGTTGTAATATAGTAGGGGTTTAGACTCTTTGAGTCTGCTTGTTTCTTTAACAAATTCTTTTTGTTCTGTTTTCTTATAATTTTAATAATTTTTTTCTGAGTTACTGATCCAAAAAAAAAAGAACAACTTTTCCCACAGCCTCAAATAGACAGAAAAAAAGGTAAATTCCAATAGAACTGACTTCCCCTCCGACTCTAATGATTATTTGTATTATGAATCAAAAGTTAAGTCTTCAAGGACCAGTAGGTTTGAGATCATCTTGATACCTGGGCCCTTGGTGTCAGAACCAATAGTGGCGCATTGAGAATGGATTAAGGGATAGCTCCAGGGATTGATGTTCTCTTTTCATTTCATTTCAAGTAGATAGAGGTGGAGGAAAGGAGACAGATTAGCTAAGACACATCCTTACCCTCTTGGACTCCTCCTCCTAGTGGTTTTGTTAAACTTAATTTTGATGGAAGTAGCATGGGTAATCCGGGTCCATCAGGTATGGAACTACAGAAATGAGAAGAGGAAATTTAATTGGTTAACCAAGAACATTGAGGTGAAGTTGAGTTGGGTTAAAAGAAGTGCTAACTCCTTTGCTGATGGGTTAGCTAAACAAGGGGTATATAGGGACTCTTTGTTCTGGGCTATCTTGTAATTGTCCTCTTGTTTTGTTGTTCTGATTAGGTGAGATAAGAGTGTTATCTCCCTCTTCCTGTATGGTTGTACCTGTGCTTTTTCTCTCTAATTTTAATAAAATCTGCGGGTTATTGATAAAAAAAAAAGGAGACAGATTAGCTGTTAGACGAGTCAGAGGGACCTTGATCTTTTAGACATTTATTACAAAGGCTAACTAGTTCAGTTTACAGACTAACTAGTTCTATTGCTACTTGCTGACAGCCTAGACATAGTAAGGATTGAAGGAGCAAGTTGTTTTGGTTTGTTGGTTGTTATTTCAAGTATAACGTGATTGTATGGGTCGTTGTTTTATCAGTAAAAAATTCCTTTATTTAATTAAAAGTTACTGTGAAAGTACAAGGCAAGTCATCTTTAAATGACCCAGACTACAACATATTACAGAATTGCCCAAAATAAAGTGGGTCTATTAGCTCCCTGCTTTGCTAGAGTATCCGCCTTGCTATTTGCTTCCCTTTTGACCCAATGAAAGATTGAACTGAATTTTCTTGCTAGTAAACCAATTTTTCTGAGGATGAATCAGAACTTCCAAAGTGCTAAGTCAATTTCTTTTGCCCAATTTATTACTAATAGTGAATCCCTTTCAATTTCCAGCTCTCTTCCTCCCAACTGCTCAGCAAGTTTCAATCCTTGTAAGAGAGCCTGAATTTCAAACCCAATTGGGCTTTCTTTGTGTTTGGATATAACCTCCTTGGGGACTTTGACCCACTTCCCTGACTTAAGACAATGAAGCTTGTACAATTTCATCTTTGATATTTAATACAATTTCTTTTTTATTGATAAAAATTATGTTTAGCATTATTCAAGAATTACAAGGGCCTCAACCTGAAGAAAGAAAATTGTCTGATGTGTCAGATATGCGGTTTTGAACCTGCGCCTCCTCTTTCAGAGGGATGTTGAATGACCATCCAAACTCCTTACCTTTTATTTTATTTTTCTTTCTTTGATTATTGATTTCTTAGATTACTACCATAGTTCATTTTATTTCCCTCTTTTTGGTTTTTGCACAATAAAGTTTCTTCAGCATTTAGATAGTCCCAGATCATATCTTCCCTAAACTGCACCTTAGAAACTGGATTGACACACAACCAACCAACCTCATGTTCTTTACATCCCATTAGCCAACCTAATCATTCCCAATATGTGGTTCTTAATCTCCTGTGTAGAGACTGTATCAGTTTCACCTGTTAGTGAGTCTTCTTTTTCCTTTTTTAATTGACACCAGATAGCTGTTAGTGAATCTATCTGCCCCAAGAAGATACATGTTGCCCCCTACATGCATAATGTTCAACTGGAATTCAGAAGCACATGTTCCTGCATATACAAGATCCAAGCAACAGTTTGCAAGTTCTCTTACTAAATGATTGATAGTAATCCATGTTGCTCTCAACAAAATCCATATCTCTGCCTTTGTGTGTCCATGCAGCCATATTGTAGCTTTAAATTATTTAGGAAAAGATACAATGAAGAAATTCAAGTCAGATTGTGCAAGAGAGAATCATGAACCCCATGCCCAAAAAAAAAAAGATATGATTCAGGAAATTTGATTAGACTTGTTTTAGGTGAAGAAAGCATTAACATAATTAGTGTTTATACACCTCAAGTGGGTCTAAAAGAAAACATTAAAAAATAATATTGGGAAATTTTAGAAGAATTAATCCAAGAATTCCTAAATGAAGAGAAGATTTTTATAGGAGACTTAAATGGGTATGTAGGGAAAAGAAGGGCAGGATATAATATGGTGCATGGAGGATTTGGGTTACGGGAGATGAATGAATCAAGAGGTACAATATTAGATTTTGTAGTAGCTTATGATGTGGCAATTTTAAACACATTTTTCCAAAAGAATGATTAACACTTAATAACATTTAAAAATGGGTCAAACATAAGTTAAATAGATTTTTTCCTTATGAGGAGAACTGAACGAATGATGTGCAAAGATTGCAAAGTTTTTCTTAGAGAAAGCTTACCAACACAACATAAACTAGTGGTGGTAGATGTGCACATTAGGAAATGGAAGAGAAATAGGGAAGAAAATAGATGTCCAAGAATTAGGTGGGAAAACCTAAAAGGAGAAAAGCTAACTCAATTTAGAAACAGATTGATAACAGAAGGGAATTAGAATTTAGATGGAAAGGTTAATGTTATTTGGCTTCAAATGACAAACATAAAGAAAGTGACAAATGGTGTCCTACGAGAATATAAAGGGAAGTGGCAAAGTACTAAAGAAACTTGGTGGTGGAATAAAGGGGTCCAAAATATAATTAGATTAAAACAAGCATGCTACAAAGAATGGCAAAAAGTTAGAAATGTAGAAAACTGGGAAAAACATAAAACCATAAGAAAGGAAGTTAAGAATAAAGTGAATTTAGTTAAATGTAAGGCTTATGATGAGCTTTACTATGAATTAGGCAGTAAAGAGGGAGAAAAAGGAATGTATAAAGCATCAAATTATTAGAAGCATTAAAGAAGAAAATCAAAGAGTCTTGGTAAAAGGTGAGGAAATAAAACAAGAATAGAAAAACTATTTTGAAAAATTATTAAATAGGTGGCAGGGAGAAAGGGCTAACGGAGGAAAATCTAGAAATACTAGAAGTGTTAAAAATGATATGTACCTTCGTAGAGTTAGACTTACTAAAGTAAAAGAGGTGTTAGGACCTAATGGGATTCCAATAGAAGTTTGGAAAGGTATGGGAGAGGTAGGCTTGCTATGGCTAAACAATCTATTTGATAAGATAGTGAAAGCAAAGAAGGTGCTTAATGATTGGAGAAACAGCAACATGGTGCATATATTTAAGAACAAAGCTGATATACAAAGTTGTAATATCGGGGGACTAAACTTATGAACCACACCACGAAACTCTGGGAGACAATAATTAAGCAAATATTACAACTTGAAACAAGTGTACCAAAGAACCAATTTGGTTTTATGCTAGGGAGATCAACCATGGAAGCTATGTTTCTTTTGATACGATTGATAGAAAAGTTCAGAGAGAAGAAGAAAGACCTCTTATATGGTGTTTATTAATCTAGAAAAGGCATATGATAAAGTTCTTAGAGAGATAATATGGTTGGTCTTGAAAAAAGGGGTTCAAAATAGGTATATAGACCTAATTAAAGAAATGTATGAGAGGGCAACAACCAATATTAGAACACCAGTGGGAGAACTTCAGATTTTACAACTACTATGGGTTTTCACCAAGGTTCAACAGATAGCCCTTATCTATTTGCACTGATCCTAGATGAATTGATTAAACATGTACAGGAGGAAGTTCCATGGTGCATGTTGTTTGCAAATGACATTGTTTTAATTGATGAAACTAATGAAGGATTAAATGCAAAATTAAGCTTATGGACAAATGCCTCAGAAACATGAGGTTTTAAAATAAGTAGGACTAAAACAGAGTATATGATGTGATGTAAATTTAGTAATAATAGGAGTGTAAATCAAGATACACTTAGGATTAGAGACCAAGAGATAACTCAACGCGACCATTTATAGTACCTTGGTTCAATAATTCATAAGGGAGAGATTGAGAAGGAAATGTGAATGCTAAGATGGATGAGTAGAAAAACTAGAAATGATAGGATTAGGAGTGAAGTTATTTGTAGGAACCTAGGAGTAGCTCCAATAGGTGATAAAACGAGAGAGTTGACTAAGATGGTTTGGGCACGTGCATAGAAGACCACCAACTACATCGGTTAGAAGAAGTGATTTGTTACACATTGAAGGGTCTAGAAGAGCTCAAGGTAGACCAAAAAGGGAATGGGTAGAAGTAGTAAGAAATGCTTTAAGCACTAATAATTTAACAATGGATATGGGTTTAAAAAGAACGGACTGGTGAAACAAGATTCATGGAGCTGACCCCATAGTTGGGATAAGGCATGGATTATGATGATAATGATGATTCGGTATCACATGTTTCATCCTACTCAATAAGGTGATGTGTTGGGAGATTAAAAGTGCTCTTAAATTGACCCCATTTCACTAATTTGGGAGAACAGATAAATTACAAATACCAATAATATAAGAGATTTGTTCCCAAGTAAAAGAGACTGCCCATTTGACCTAACTAATTGTTTTGAAACAATCCCAAACCAACTCCTACAGTCCTACTATCACAAGTTTCTGATTAAAATGGCATGATAGGTTTTCCATGAAATGTCATCCACATTTAATTGTGTTGAACATCTTAACAACAATAAGCATACTGCAACGTCAATGAAATAGAGTGGATTTAGTAAATTAAAATTCTCTAACAAATGGAGGACAGGATGGAAATTCTAAAACTTTCTCTCGGGCTACAAAATTTTGACTATTTTTATAGTAATAAAAATATGAAATACAACAATAAAATAATTATAAGAAATATAATTACATCTAAATCAAATGAAAAGACATCTCCTTTAGCATGAAAATGGATGTCTAATAGAAGGTAAAATAGGAACATAAATGGTAAGGGAGAGCTACCTTCTCAAGACCAGATACATAAGCTCTGGCATGAACATTTGCAATATCGTCTACAGAAGCAGGCCTGAAATTTTGAAGTTCAAAGACCTCTGACCCACGATACTGAGATTAAAAAAATAAATGAAGAAATAATTAGAAAAATGGGAATATCTCAAAAGAAAATAGAAAGCATTGCTATAAGCAATATGTACTTTTCATCAGAAAAAAAAAAATTCGATTTTTAGGACACCAAGAATCCCAAAAAAATAGCATAAGACAAACAATTTCATGACATTTTCAACTTAAGGAGACAGAAGGGCAAGAGATGTACTTTGATGACTGGAAAGGAGGCAAAATTGCTAGCAAATAGCTACCTAGATGTTAAAATGTTTGAGCACATGAGAATTGTGGGCACCATTTGAATAGGTTGCATGCTTCTTTTTGTTTTTTTTTATGACTTTTCTTTTCTTTTTGTTTTTTCCTTTTCTTTTTTTTTTTTTTTTTGAAGAGGTAAGATATTAAACTATTTGAAAAGTTTATTGTCTTGTTGACTGACTCCACATCCTAAATTCTCTCCTACATTAGCATGAAATCATTTTAATAGGAATTAGTCATTGTTCAACATAACAAAGTAGAAAACTAGCTAGAAGATGTTCAATTAACTTAAGAGAGCAGCTGAAAGAGCAAGGTAGGCAATAAATGGAATCTGAGTAATAAAGAATATTTTACATGATCTTTTAGAAGAAATGTAACAATGAATCAGTGATATGTTTCTTTAATCATTGGCTTGCAATGCATCTCAAAAGTAAAAATAATGAAAACGCAAAACAATGATAGATATGGAATTATTGAAGGTGAATATCTGTGTTTCATGATTCCATACCTTTGAAGTGAGTTCCATCTTTTCCAAAGCATTTATGATTGCAGGAACTCTCAAATGAGATTCTGGATGTGACTCCTGTTAATGATAATCAACCCAAATTTTCATGAAAAAATATACCAAAAATAGAAGACTCCATACTACATAAGGGAATCACAAATAATATGAACTGAAAATCAAGATAAAAAACAATGAAATGTGATCATTACAAGAACAAATTATCAATCTACAGAGAATTAAGTCTTTATGAAGTTTCTACTATATTAATGTACAAAATATGTAATATTTACAATTGGTAATGTTAAGAATCACAAATACGCTTAAGAAGACTATGCTACAGTGCTACCTAATCCCTTTACACCTTAGGATGTATAGAATCTATCATCCATATTCCCTACTATTGAGTTTTTTGTATTCATAACTGTATACTTCATTAATGTACAAAATGTGTCTATAGAAGCCATCACCCTTTTTTTGAAAGGTAAGAACTTTCATTAAAGGAGGGAAGGAGATATTCCTTCACATACAAAGAAAGCTAGATAATAAAACAAAGAGAAAAACAGATTACATATTGATAACTTCTTCCCTGATCAGGTTGCTCCACTGAGAAACAAAATGAGAGAACTTCAAACCCAAAAACTCCTTGTAGATGGAAGCCCAACTAACCAGACCCCTTTCAATTCTAGCAAAAGCATTTTCAACAGAAGAAGAGGCATGTTGGAGGGACCTGTTATTCATCACCCATATTCCCTACTAATCATCCCCTCAATACAAATATACAATTGATCTATCTGACCCTTGTTTGGCTAAAGCATCTGCTAGTCCACTTGCTTCCCTTCTAGTCCACTGGAACTGATCTCTTAATTATTGTTCCAATTTTCTGATTGCCCTCATGATAATGACAATGTTGCCATGGACCTGGATTGTTTTTTATTAAACAGCTGAACACAATACTCAAATCACCCTTCACCAAGATACCTCTGAAATTTTGTAATTTACAAGTCTGAGCCCTTGGTGTAAAGATAACAGTTCAGCCCTAAAATAGTCAACTTGCTGTATAGGTCCTGAAACTTTATCCCAATTCCCAACCATATGGCGTTGGATAATAGCACCATTTTGACCCTTATATGCTATGAATACCTACTTAGTTAATGCAAATATGTACAATATATATATATATATACAAAACTTAACTTGAAAATAAGCATAATTGACTTTAGTGATCCTTTAGTATGTTGACCATCCTGTTGAGACTCCTATCTGGACTGTCGGTCCATGAAACCTTTCCTAAGAAGATAATAAATGTAAAAAATATGATACAGTGCACATGACATTTACACCATCCGACCACCAATGAATGAAGTCAACATAGCAGGGTCTAAAAGAAACTCGAGGAACTACATTTGATATGTTAAGTCCATATTCTGTGCAATACAACTGGAGCCACAAATAGTTTGATGATTATCCATGAAATAACAAGCATGAATAGAAAAAAAAAAGAAAAAAAAAGTGTACTTTTAGTTCATTCAGTACCCAGTTATGTTGATCTTAATAAAAGAAAATAATTTTCTGAAAGTCAAAAAATTATGAGGGTAAAATCAGGAAGAGCACAGATCAATATTAGTTTACCTGGTTATGACCCATGGCAGGAGCTACAGAGTACATTACGCGTGCAGTAGAAGGAGGTAAATATAGATCCTCATGAACATTACTTGAACTAAAATTGGAAGCACAAATGCTTTTGGATGAATGTTTCATTGCTGACTTCAATTGGTTGTGGAAGGATCTAACACCTACCAAGTTGTTCTCTAAACCAAACTTGTAATGATTTTTTAGCTTACATAGTTGATAGCTCACTGAGAGGTACAAGTACCCTGCAACAAATGTCAATTTCATTCTAAAAATTATATACTAAAATTGGCATAAAATGACAAAAGTTGAGAATCGAAACTATATGAAAACAAAGATAATGAAATGAACATTACCTTATGAACAGTAATCAACAAATGTTATCCAAAAAAGGAGAAGAAAACTAAAAATTGTATAGCCTGGCCTCCATTTCATCTAGATATCCTTTTGTATGATAATATATGACATGGATATACATATCTATAGATATATAGCATAGTTGTCAAGGCATCACCTAGGCGACTAGGCACCCTTGGCTGGGAACCTCACCCAAACGCCTTGACTTTTAGCAACTAGGCGCCCTTCTAGGCGACTAGGCGCTGACCTAGGTGACTAGGCGCTCACCTAGGCGGCTAGGCACCCACCTAGGCAACTAAGCGCCTGCCTAGGCAACAAAAATGACAAGGCAGGCACCTTTTATAATATCATTTATATTGCTGTACCTTATTAATGTATGTGTTAATACATTTTATTATATGCTATATATATCAATGTACTTTGTTTTAATGTTTTACTATTGAAATTTAAAAGATCAAAGGGTTTTGAGGAGAGAAAAAGAAAGAAAGAAAGAAAGAAAGAGGAAAAGAAAGAATAGAATTATAAAGAGGTTCTGTTTTTTTCTATTCTCTCTCTAATTAAATAAAACAGAAATCCCATCCTTGTTTTTTTCTATTTTTCTTTCCATCTTGAATACTTTTGATATAAAGTTGACCTTCTTTAGCTGCTAATTGATAAAAAATTCTCTACTAAATCCTTATTATAACAGTATTATTTTTTAAAATAATTAAATTAATATATGTAAAAGATTTTTATCTTCTAGATGTGATGATTTGCCACATTTTTAGATGAAATTTAATGATATTAATAAAGAGAATTGCTATTTTTTCAATCAATATACATGCTGAATGATATATAAAACTAGGGAACCAGCCAAAAGTTAGATTTTTATATTATAAAATTTTTATCGCCTAGGCGCCCCAATGTCACCTAGCATCACCTAGGCGCCTTGAAAACTATGATATATAGAGAAAACGATACAACTAATATGAAGCAATAGCGAGCTAGGCAAGCCATTCCCTGGAGGTACCACATTGGACTGTGGACATCATGACATAAATAAAGTGCACATGAATAACAGAGCTCAAAATAGTGTATTATGTGATTTCTTTGCCCACCTTTAAGGTTAGTGCACTAAGGCTTAATGTTTTTATTTTATCCCACTAAGCTTTTTATTTTCACTAAACCACTGAGGCCAATTGGTTGATGTCAAAATCAACATTATATTCAATAATGCACTTCTTGCACTTCTTCAAAACTTTACTACAAATTGTCAAGGACAAAAGTTTCATTTTTGGGGGAAAAACAATGAAAAAACTATATGATACATAACTGACAGGGTTATTTTGTATTTTTGAGAAATTGACATTGGATGGAGTGACAGCGCTTACCAATGTATCACATCATAGGAGGCATTCACTCGCCATTGGAGAAACATCAATTTGATGATTCATGCAAAAATATAACGATGACCATTGCATTGGTGTTTCTGAATAAATAGGCACACCAGATATAATTTTTTTGTCCATTTATGCAGAAACACTGATAATAACAACCTAATTCAACAAATGGAAGAAAAACACTCATGCTACCAAAAGCCCTCTAGGATTGAGAAAACACCTAAAGCCTACAAAAGTAAAACGCTTGTACCTGCGGAGGGAAGTGAATTCTACAAAAACAAATGAAACCATTAGGAAATTCTATCTCTGTATTCAACGACCTCAATGGAGAAGATAGTTTTTTTTCGGTAGAGGAAAAGATAATAATTTAAAGATGCAAAAATGTCTTTCAGTTCCCTTTAAGTTGAATATATTTATATCAAACAGGAAAATTTTGTCTTGCCCTTACCTCAATTGAACATCTAATTTAATGGGTCCTATGACCATCTATAAAATTGAAAAGTTGCATTCTATGCACACAAGAATATTCGTCCAGTAGCTCAGCTAAGTTGCCTCATTTAAAACTAAAAGAAGATTATCCAATAACCTCACATAAGTTCAACACACATTTCTAGCTAAGCAAGGGTTCAGAGACAGGGTATATTTTGGGCTCAGCTGTAATATGTTTGGGGGGTCTAGACACTTGGTGTCTGTTGTAGTTTCCACAATATCTTGTTTCTCTGCTTTCTTTTAAAATTAATAAATTCCTCTTGTGAGTTACTGATCAAAAAAAAAAAAGTTCAACACTAAACATTCATCAATGCAATACTGGCTACCCCATCAGAAATAAATAAATAACCAAAGAAGACCTCATCAGCAACCAGAGAGAAAATCCCGCTAGTATAAATCAAAAATTGCATCCACTATAGCATATGCAGCTCCTTTCATCAACTGAGGTTAATTTTATATTCAGTGAATTCACAGAGCAAATTAAGAACATAAGAGAAATCTGAAGTTGCGTAAGTTATGGTAGCTTAATAGCTTAATTGAATAGAATTGCGAGGTCAAAATCATCTGTTCATGGCTTTGCCCTGTGTGTGTGTGTGTGCGAGAGAGAGAGAGAGAGAGAGAGAGAGATTAATGACATTGTGGTTCGTGGCTTTTGAACCGAGCAATTTCCGAAAGACATACCAGTGAAAGCAGAACGAGATATCGATTGGAGCTCCATGCAGTCCACAGCCACACACCCCGACTTGCTGCTGGTGCCAAAGGAGAATCAGAGAAAAGCAGAACAAATGAAAAAAGAAAGAATAAACAAGGGATTAGGTCCGGTCCGGGAACACAGTCCGGCTTGTTGCGGTCTGGGACTCTCGTAACTTACCACGTGGCAGTATCAGAAAACGGAACTCATCCATATGAGTCCGAATCACCTGTCAATAAAATGCGTTCCAACACCCTACCAAATACCAACAACATCCGACACCGCACATCAAATTCATGGCGGGTCTCACTTATATGGTGGGCCTCAGTTTTAGAGCGAGATGTACGGTGCCGGATCAAGTTGGTAGCTAGGTGTACAGGCCCCAGTTGTGTTTTTTATTGGACTTATTATCCAATACAGGGGAAGATTAGATCGAAAATATACACAAACATACTATATATTCAGGCTTAGGTTGAGCCGGGCCAGATTGAAATCGGACTTTAATTATCTGAGATCTCAACCCAAGTCAAATCCAAATTTAGGTGAGGCTCAAGTTTTCTGGCCAGCAGGCCAGCTTAAAGCCCAAAAGTTAGAACCAACCCATATGAATGCTCAGATTGGGTTGGATTGGGCTAAGGTTGGGTCCACCCAACTTGCAGTAATTTGCTTTCAGATTCAAGCTTTTCCCAATGGTCATGTCAGGTGTTTGATATCTTTGCGTTTCATGTGCACGTTCTGTTTCATGTAGGGTGTTTGATACTTATGGTGCAATTCGGGCTGGCCCAACTTGAGCCTTCAAACCTATCTAGAAAATTTTAGACAGGCTGAACTAAGATTTTTGGGCATTGGATTAGGCTCAGGTCCAGGATTTTGAGTTTTTCTTTATGCTAGTCTCCGGCTTGGCCTTTAGGTATCCCAAATCCGACCTAATCTTATTCCAACATTCATGCACATATATAGATATGAGTGCATCAAATTACAATGTAGACTAGGGACAAATAGGAAAGATTGGGCTTGATCTAGGGCTCGTTGCAGGTTCAAGCCTTAGACCCAAATCTTAGGATTGGGCCTAGATTGACATAAACCCAATCCAGCCCACCCAACTTGCAAACCCTATTGATACCTTTTGGCAAAGAAATGAAGAGTTAATTTTAATGACTATTACTAGTGGGGACCCATGTGATGCACGGGATTTATTAAGTTAAAGATAAAAAATAGAAACATGTAAGAGTATACAATTGTTTTATATAATAATTAATAATTATTTATATTTTATATATTACTTTTAATAATTTTTTATAATACAAAATTAATAATAATTAATTTTAGATAGGGTTGTTTATCAAATTTAGGGATGGCAATTTTCCCAATTTCCATGATCCCTATCGGGATCTGCCCTAAATGAGGTGGGATGGGGATGATTCCCCCCCCCCCTCCCACAGGGATGGAGATGGGGAAATTTTCATCCCCGTTGCCAAGGACAGGGAGAGCACTCCCTATAATATTTTAAAAAATATGGTTGAATATGTTTGAATATTTTCTAATAGGATTGTAAATTTCAATTATTTTATTTTTATTTTTTAAATAAAATAAAAAACACATAATGGTTAACATTATAAAGAATCACGAGGAGTGGGGATCCCTGAGGAGACGGGGATGGGGATAGCTTTGTCCCTGTTAGTAGGGATGGGGACAAGGGCGTAGATGGGGATTTTCACGGGGACGGGGATAGGGAGAGGCACCTTGTCCTTGCCCCGCCCTGTTGCCATTCCAAATCAAGCTAATGAAACTGACCAACATGATTTTTAGTATTTCCAATTGGCTTTGGTTCAATAATTTCCCAACCAGACTAGGTTGGATCAATTTCGCTTTGGCCATTTGTAAACTAACTAAAATCAAATGACCTGACTATAGATATATATTAATACTTTATATTTTAAATATATTTTTTAATATGGGAAAGTGGGAAATTCCAATATTTCTTAAGCTAAAATAGTTTATATCATTAATTTAATTTTTAAATTTATTTTTTTAATAATGCCATTGTAATTTTTTTTGAAAATTTATTTAATTTTTAAATTTAATTATTTAAGTTTAAATCTTTTGAATCGATCGACCAAACTGAAAATTGACCCAAACCAATATAACCTAAGTGACCAACCCCCAACCTGACCAGGTCGATTTGATTGGCCAAACAACCTACAGCTAAACCAAACCAACTCGTGAACAATAGTTTAATCTCCAATAAATATTAAAAAATTTATAGTGAAAATACACAACAAATTAAATTTAAAAAGCTAAATTATAGTAGTTTAAACTCCAATAATTATTGAAAATATATTTATCTCAAATAACAATAAATAATTACTGAAATACAATAAATATTAATTTTAGTATATATAGATATATAATAATAAAGATTAAGTTTTTAAAATTATTATTAATAAACGATAATTTTTGAAAGTTATTTTCTAGAATTATTAATTGGTATAAATGAAATTAATTATTTACAATATTATTTATTTGTAAAAATAATATCATTATTTAAATTTTAAAATATTAATTACTTGTTGAATTTAATAATCCATAAAATTATAGTACTATTAATACATAATTTTGTTCTTTTAACTATTTAAAATCTAGTTATGTCAAATATTTTATTATTTAAAATATTTAGTTATTTAACTAAATATTTAAAACCTTAATCTATTTATTATAATTAAAAGTTATTTAGTAACTATTTAAAAAATATTATTAGTTGATATAAAATATTAATTTTAGTATTTTGTTATTTAAAATATTTAGTTATTGAAATATTTAAATAATATTTCATTTTTTATGTTAGATTTTTATTATTTGAATCAAGGTTCAAAATATCAATACACCCAATATGCCAGTAGAGGCACATCTGGTTCAGAGGGGCCAGTTTAGTTATTGATAGCTTTTCTTTTTAATTTTGTTTTAGTTCTTTGTTCAAATCTGGTTTAGAGGGGCCAGTTTAAAGGTCCGTCCATCCTTGTTTTGAATAACATTTAGATTGAATGATCCATAAAATCATAATTTATATTGTTTGTACATAATTTCATGATGAATTTTGTAAAAATATATTAATAATATGAATATTATTAAATTTGATTATAATTATTTTTTGTCTTTTTAGTAAATATTAAAGTTATTGTATAATTTTATTAGAATATTTAAATAATTCTTAAATTTTTTTAATTCAGACTTTCTTTAAATAGAGGTAGATAAAAAGTGGGGGAGAAGATAAATAAGAATTGGAGATAATTTAGGAGAGAAACTCTCTATTAAATTAGAGATAACTTAGAGAAAAGTTGGGGATAATGTGGGAGGTTGTATAGGAGAAATTTTAGGATACTAGATTATTTAGGTTATTAGAACGTGTGTGTGTGGGAGAGAGAGAGAGAAAGAGAGAGAGGGGGAGGGAGGGAGATTTTAGGAAGTTTTTTTTTGGAAGGTAGAATTTCTAATTGGTAGTTTTGAAAATGACATGAATTAAAAAAATTAAAATTTTCAAAGAAAAGGAGAAAATTTTTAGAGAGATTTTATGAATTAGGATGCCTCAAGGTAAGATAAGGACCTTAATTCTTCATTTCTTTGCCATTTCATATAATAGTCATTGACTAGGGCTGTTCATAAGAATGCCCAACCCGACCAAACCGACCAACCCGGACCGACCCAACCTGAGTTGGCCGGGTTTTCATCCGTACCGGTCGGTTTCGGGTTGGGCACATACAAAAACCGATATCTCGGGTCGGTTTCAACCGAAACCAACCCGACCCGAACCGAACTAGTCTTCTACTAGTTTGGTAGTTCCCACTTCCTAGTTTGAGTAGTTTCCTAATTCCTACTAGTCTTCTAGACTTCTACTAGAACTAGAAGGCCCATTAGGCAATTACAATTAGAATTCAATTAGGTGTCCTTTTTTTAATTTTTTACCTAGATTAGAATTTAGCAGGTTTCTAATTTTTTATTTTATTGACCACTTTTGTCTTCTCTTAAAATCTTATATTCTCTAATTTGGTTGGTCCGCCCCCCTCAAGTCCTCAACTCAAGAGTTTATTCGGTTTTGTACAGGAGCAAAACTGAAACCGACCCAAACCGACCCAACCTGACTCAAACCGACCAGGTTGATTTGGCCTATCAGTGGGTCGGTTTCGGTTCCCACCTCTGGTAACCCAACCAGGTCGGGTCGGTTTGGAAAATCCCATTAAACCAATCCAACCCAACCCGTGAACACCCCTATCATTGACTCATTCCAATTCGTGGCAAGTTACCATAGAAACACTTTCCTCACTAACCTAAGCATTGAAATCCCTATATTCATTGACTATACCTAGACCTTTACAATCAACCATCAGAGAAACTATCATTTTGTTATATATATATATATATATAGGGAAAGAAGGGAAAGGTGGGGAAACCTTTAAAAACATTGTATAAGTTTCCCCTTCTTTCCCTTCCTTTTCCTTCAAACCAAACATAGCCTTAGTGTTAGAACTTTCAAAGGTGCCAGAAAAATTACAAAAATGCCCATATTCTATTTCTCTTTTATTCACTATTCATCTTCTTCTACCTTTAGACTTTGTGTGCAAACTAGTAGTGGCATTTTCATAATTTACAGTCAAAGCACTCTTGTGTTGAGCCTTTATCAACTCTGCTTTGCATTCAAAATCCAAAAGTAGAAGAAGATGAACCATGAAAAATAGAGAACCATATATATATATATATATATATATGTATATATATATTCCGAAAGTTCATATGCTAAAATGGCACATTTGAAATTTCAGGCCCTAAATGAGACTACCCCAAAGTATAGGATATCTATCTACGGTTTATCATTTGTTGGCTCCCTAACTGATCCACCTCCTACACCCCTGAAGACAACCACAACAACAGAAAATACTAAAATAGAGAGAAGCATAGTGGAAAATAAAGATTTTTATATAATTTGACCTTTCACCTAGATCAGGGATTTGCTGCCAACCCCCGTCTTGATACATTAAAACCACGTCTTATTTAGGCTGTATTTGTCATTTTTTATTTTAAGGATTTATCTCCTTTTACTATTAAA